TCTAATTATTCGTGAAAAATTTTTTTTTCTTTACTTGTTTTCGACTGCCATATCATTAATAAATTTTTGAATACAAGTTTTTTCTGAATTCATTGATGTAGCACAATCATACTTTAAAGAAATATGACATACTTAACTTTGAAAGGCGTTTCTTGCAGAAATGGTGCATCAAGGTGAAACTGAGCGCATAGAATTATTAATGACTATCTGTTACGGTGACAAAGGACGAAGTTTTGCTCAAGTAGTAACACTTTTTATTGAAATTCATCCTGAGCGAGAAACCATTTCTAAGCTGATGGTTTCAAAAATCTTACAAAAATTTAATGAAACTTGGGTGCTAAAAAACGTCCAAGACCTGGAAGGCCAAACATTGATACAAATGATGAAAATGCCCTTACTGTCCTCTTAGACGCAACGATGTGGAAGAAGCATGTTCCAAATTTTATGATACTTTGTACAGTTTATTTGACGCAACCATACCCAAATATTCTCGCTCAAAACTCAACGGCCAATATTACCCTCCTTGGTTTACTACTAGTGACGTCATTCGATTAAAAAATTCTGCTTTTAAAAAATACAAAAAGAGCGGATCTTCACAATCTTATGATTCATTAAAACGTCTTCGTTCCAAGTCTAAAGTACTTATTAATATTGCTTACAAAAAATACTTATTCGACTTATTAAAACAATGCCTTTCTGTTGATTCCAAAAAGTTCTGGAGTTTTATTCAAAGCAAAAAGGAACATCTAGAATTGCAGGCCTTATGATCTATAAAGGTAATGAGTTATCTGATCCATCTGAAATTGTTGTCGCTTTTGCAGACTTCTTCGATAGTGTGTTTATTGCTTCTAAACATATGAAGTACTCTCAGCTCATTTTTAACACTAATTCTAATATTTATATTCCACCGTGTCAAATTACTGTTGAAGATGTTTTGATAAATTTAAAAATATTCAAGAATTCTTTCACAATGGGTATTGATGGAATTCCTTTTGTGCGCGGATTCTTGCTGAGCCAGTTTGTATTATATTTATTTAATAATAAAGAAGTCCGTCTTTGGAAGAAGGGTTGTATTTGTTCCATTCTTAAGAAAGGACGGCAGAATCGGGTGACAAATTATACAGGTATTTCGATACTTTGCAACTTTGCTAAGGTTTTCGAATCAATTTTGTATTATACATTTACTCATGGACAAAGCTATTGATTTCATCTAGTTAGCATGGTTTTGTGCAGAAAAAATCGATCAATACAAATTTAGCTGTATTTTCCCAATATGTTTGTATATCGGAAGTAATTGCCAATGTGATGTCATATATACTGATTTCGAAAAGGTTTTCGATAAAATAGATCATTGTTTTTTACTGCAAAAGCTCTGTAATATTGGCTTCACAAATTCGTTATTGAAACTTTTAATCTCTTATCTGATTGATAGAATCTCATTTGTGAAATCCAGAAGTTTTCGCTTGAACCATTTACTCCATCTTCTGGGGTCCCACAGGGATCGAACTTAGGACCCTTGTTGTTTTTGCTGTTCATTAACGAACTTGGAGATACTATTCTCTGTAATAAACTTATGTTGGCTGATGATCTCAAATTATACATGCAATTAATTCTATTAATGATTGTTACTATCTTCAGTTTTGCTTAATTTTGCTTTACCTCTGCGTATTCGAAGTAGATTAATGTTGAATATTTTTAAATGCAAAGTTGTTCCTTATACAAGAAAACTTATCATCATTGTTTTTGACTACTATAATCTAAAAGGAGTCGTTTTGGAAAAATCGACTGCATTAAAGACTTGGGTATCAGTTTAATTTTTGTAGAAACTAGAAATTTTATTTTGGTTTCGGTTGTTATAGGTTAATTTATTTATTGTTTAATATTATTTGAAATGAATAATATATTAATTTATTTAATTATTGTTTAATAATTTATATTACCATTTCAATCAGCAAGAAAGTATAATTCAGAAATTCGGAAAAACATGCATTAATTATGTGGTACTGCCTTTTAAAAAAAATCAAGGTAGCCTTGCATCTCGAAAACAAATGAAACAAAAAAAAAATTTTTAACCGATAATTAGAACACAGTTTCTTGTACCCTATACCTAATTTCAGTTGATTTGGGTCTCAAGATATTTAACATTTTCCATACATTCTAGCGACCCTGTATATAGAACGGCATAAAACATAGCACTGACAGTAATCTGAGAAAATATAACACACCTAACAGTGAACCGAGTCTCTGATTTTGCGTTTTTAAAAATGTTTATATCACGTTAGCTGGTTTTTCAATAAGATGAGGCTACAGCGCGTCGGGCTAGGACCACAGTAGCAATGACACGAGTTTTTTTTAACAACCGGAGGATTATTTTTCAAAATACAAGAATATCTTAAAGTTAAAAATAATAGATAACTATACAAACAATAATGCAGAGATTTTTAAACATTTGTCTGCTCTGTTTGCTTTTACATTTGTCATTTTGTGACTTTGTCAGCTTGGTTTAATGACCGACATGCTAAATCTAAAGATGCCTTGATTACAAATTAATTTAAGGCTCGGATTGTATGCAAAATGGATATTCCCTAAAATGCGGCATATTCAGAAAAAAAAATGTTTTTTTTCCAATATAACTTCTCTTTTTAAACAACTGGCTTTAAAAAATGCATATTTTGTATATTTTTCAATTCTACTGCACATTTACCGATAAAGTGCATATTTATTCAGTAAGTACCATTATTGAATAGGTCGCATCCGGCTTAAAATTATTTTAATTCTCTTTTATTTAACTCTTCAGGTGGCATTCTTCTGGTAATTAGTAATTTTTCATTTACCGGTTTTATTCTTAATTCAGTCCTTATTTTGGTACCAACAAGTGAATTTTGATTCCAAAATGCCAAAAGTTTCTGCAAGTGTCCACGGCTGAATAAAAAAAGTATCCTGAACTAGTGTTAGATGAAAATTCTCAATCTGTTTTTTGCAGAGTGTGCTGTAAAAAGCTAAGTAAGGTATTCAAATTTTTACCATTGTGCTATATTTTCGAATTTGCCACTTTTTTTTTAGTTCCAAATTCAAACAATTGTTTTAGTTTATTGATATCTTATTGACTTCAATTAAACGCGAGAAATAAAGCATGCACAATATGAATTAATTTTACTGTTCAGGTCGCCTGTGAAAAGAAGTTTTCGATAACTCAGCATATGAGAACAAGCCTTTACAAAAATAAGTTGAAGAATTCTACTAATGTGAAGACACAAAGTCTGCTCGCAGAATATTTCTCAAACACCCAGAAGATCAACAAGAATATTGGTTCGAATTGTGTGAAACATTCCTCAGTACTGATATTTCTTTATCAAAACTGAATAACCCCAAGCTACGATAATTTTTAAAAAAGCGTACCATGAAGTGTGAAGTCAGTTCCCGATGAGAGTACCTTAAGGAAAAATTACGTGGACAAAATTAATTGATAATCTAATTTATTTTCATGTCGATGAAACAACCGATTCGTATGGACGTTATATGGCAAATTTGTTGGTTCGAACTTTGACCAGCGAGCAAAAAAGTGTAGCACTTCATATTTGATTAGCACGAAACCTTTGGAAAAGACAAATAATAATACTATTGCAAGGTTTATTCATGAAGGTTTAACAAAACTTTTTTCTTCCGGAACCAGTTACAGTTGAAAAAATCATATTGATGTCATCAGATGTTGCTACATACATGTGCAAAGCTTTATCCTACCTAAAAATATTTTTACCTCGCTTAATCCATGCTTAGCTCATGATGTAAATAGAGGGGCTGAGAAAATTAGAAATTTATTTCCAATAGTAAATAATGTTAATTTTTTTTTTTTGTTAAATCACCTTTGAGAGTATAATTTTATCCAAATGCATTGTTCAATTTAGCATTACCTCCATAACCTGTCGTCACTTGGTGGCGAACATGGTTAAATGCAGTTTTATTTTATACCAAAAGCTACAATGCAATTAAGAGTTTTGCTAATGAGCTGTCAGATGATGCTACCTCTATTAAAGACTCTAAAATAATGTTTGCTAAAAGACTACTGAAATCCCAATTGACATTTATTTCAGCAAATTTTTCTAAACTTGAACGCAACAATTTAGCACTGGTAGATTTTATTCAGCTAGTAACAAAGTGTTCTCAAAATCTATCCAAAATTCAAGGCAAAATAGGTGACAAAGTTTTTCAGAAATTTATGTCCGTTTTAGAAAAAAAAAATGTGGTTTTGATAGTTTGTCGCTTGTGTGTAAAATTTTCGGGAGGGAATTTGTAAATCGGGGTAAAGATCCAGATATAATAGAGAATTTAAAATTTGCTACAATAACCTCTGTCGATGCTGAAAAATCGTTTTCAATGTGTAAACATGTGTTGTGTGACAAGCGCGAGTCATTTCTAATGAAAAATTTTGAAAACTATTTAATAATAATCAATTGGTTTAATAAAAATTATGAATAGCTAAAATACAAATATTGTGTAAACAGCATTTTCTTACCTACTTAACTTAATTGAATTCTTATATAATGTTATGAAATTATGTATTTGCATATGCATGTTTTGCATATTTAGCTGCATATTTTTAATAAAGTGGTTCAAATTTCGACCAAAGATGTGTGCATATTATGCGTATGTTTCTACGATATTTTGATGCAAACAATCCGAGCCTAACGAAATTATGTTGATCGTCCAATATATACAAAAAAATTAATTTGGAAAATAAAATATTCTTAACTCCGAACGGGGTCTATTTCACCTGAATTATTGTCTAAAATGGAGTTGAAATCTCGAGCTTTAGTTAGAGCAAAATGAATTTAATAAAAGTCCGCGAGTTAAAAATGTATTCGGAGTTATTAAATCCGTTGTCTGTCGGAATTCGCAATTGTTCTTTGAAGGAAAGGTAGGCTTTCGTGATGATATCGTTTTGATCTGGGTAATGAGACGGCTGCAGACGGCGCATAAACATGGAATGAAATAAAACGTACCATTTCATCGACAGAAGGGAATCTGTTGAGATATCCTGTAAGAGAGAAGACTGCAGCCATTTTTGTCATAATGAAAGCCGCCCCCGCCGTGAAGAAACACCATCCGTAACGATAGTCGTAGACGGGGCCGGAGGGAGGCTCCTTGTGATATTGTGTTATTTCCATCAGAGTCTCTGACAGAGCAGATGCAAAAACCACCAGACCCGTTCCCAAAGAAAGCCCTGAAACAAAAAGATTATCTGACTGCAGACTCAAGCAATGTCATACTTGGAGACAATACAGCGAAAACCCTATTTCTAAAAGGAAATTTCGTCTTTACGCAGGAATGTTTTCAAATAGTTCCACTGTAATTTGCAAAGGATGCTTTAAACACGAGTTGAGATGTCTTTAGTAACGTGTAAACTAATTAATCATTGCCGATTTAGACGCGTATCGCTGTTTTTTGGAACTTCGCAACAAAATTCAAAGAAAATCTTATCGCGTACAATATATCAAGTGCCTGGAAATGTAACCCCGCTGTAACTGGGATTTTCCGAGTCGTTAAAATGGCTACCAGTAAGTAGGATCGATTGCGTCCGTATTAGAGGTAAGTAGATCATGTTCGGACGCTTAATACTGAACAAATAAGCTAACGATACAACGACTTTTGAAAGTTTTGGCATTAATGGGTTACGGTAAGCGGAATTTAATTTGACCTGGCACTACGCCAAAAAATATTTCTCTTGTGAAAGACAAAATTTTTTACTATATTAAACATAATTAACAAAAACTAACAACGTCACCGTAAATAACAATTTATTACAACACTTGTGTATTTTAAAATTATTATCAGAGCTTTCAGTTTTGTGTATGATTATTTGATTACATGTCTTAATTAATTACAACTTCTTGTAGAGTTGAATAACAATCCGGTCGTTAGTATCAGTGCTTCTGGCATATGTGAGCAGGTGAAATATAGTACAACAAATTAGTTTGTGAGGGAATCAGTCCTTTAGCATCTATTATTAAGTGCTGAAGAAAACAATTTAACTGTTCATGAAATATGAACACGCGAACCGACGCTTAATTGCTATTTAGGGAACACCAAGTTTCAGTTAATTGCTAATTAAATTGTGGTGCGATATACTCTGGACCATTACCATTGTGTACATGATTATTTTTGAGACAAATAGTTGTCTTTAAAGTGAAATGACAAGATGATAAAGAAAAGTTGATCGATCGAGTGTAACAGACGCTCTTTCCAACAGTGTAGGTCGGCTCCCTTTGGCTGAATCACTATTTGGTCTGTTAAATTGCATAACAGAAATGCAATCTTCAAAAGAAAAAAATTGATATAGTTATCGAAACAAAAATAAACTGGGACATTATAAAAATAACAATATATCAAGGGCGATTTAACTAAGAAAAAATTGGTCGAAAGTTGTTTCGACAGAACTTCCCTTGCTCTTGAAGTACAATGAAATATTTTTTTACACAAGTTTGTGATGACGTCATCAACATTTTTGCAAGGACACGTACATCAACTTGGATTGGTGCAGTGTAATACTAAAAATAACAGTATTGTATTTCAAAAATTTTTTGGGAAAATAGAGTGAGCCGTTCCTGATTTAATCAATAAAATAAATTGTCTCATTTATAATTTTTTTGAGCCACATGTTTAAGCAAATCTAAAAAATATGAATGCAATAATGAATCATAAGTAAAAACTCATCATATTTTGCACATTTTGGATTGAATTTATTCGGCAAAATTTTGAGATGACGTCATCAATTTTTTGGGGGAAATAAACAGATAGATTTTGATTAACAATTTACCATGCTTACAAGAACTTGAAAATGTTTACAAGATTTCAAATTATTCAGTTTTGCAATTCTTAGTTTATTCAATGAAATAAATTGCCTGATTCATTAATTTTTTTTAACGATCCTGTATAACCAAATCTAAAAATTGAGGATTTTATTTGATTAATAAAAATTTGGTCGAAGGGTATAAGAATAATGTGACAAATCCAGATCTTTAAAAAAAATATAAAATTGATTTTATGATTTTCGTTTTGTGATAAGATCTGGAAAGTAAAAACCAGAGGCATAAATAACATCGCTTGTTTTTCAGCAGTAGGTAATAGCAGTCTGAAGCTCAAGTATTTATTTATGTTTATACATCGAAGGAATGTCACGCAGAATATTCTTCACATTTTCAAAAAAATGGGGTGACTCGCTCTTAATTTGACCAATAAAAAATTTGTCATGACGTCATCAACATGGATAATTCTAGGCACAGCGTAAAAGAAAAGTAGTCACAGCGTTATGCCAATGCAAGAAAAAAAAAAGAAAGGGCCAAGTTCGGCATCGAACCACAATCGCAGTATGGCAGGTCACCATTATCTGCGATAGGCCCACTGCGCCACGGAAACGTTCAAACCATGTCGGAAATAAAACGTTATTATACCTTGCAAATGTTTTTGCGAAAATTTGAACGTTTAGCGACAAAAACTGAAAGTAGATTTCATACACTACAAGTACACGTACATTAGTATATTATTGCGCAACATTCAAACCATATTAGAATACCACTCAAATTGTTGATGGGATGACTAGCCAAATTTTGGTTAGCATTTAACCATCTACATGATATTTCTAATATACATACAAAATTTGAGAACAATTAGTCCTGCGATTTCGGAGGTTACGTGTCTAATAAAAATGGACACAGATAAACAAACAGACAGACAGCAGACAAATGGAAACGAGAGACTACTCTCTTCGTACTGTTGGGGTCATGAAACGTCAAGAAAACATAAAAGTGGCCATTCGTCCGATGAACTCGATTAGAAAAAAGACAATGCAAAACAAAATTACAGAAAGGTCTAAAAAACAAAGGATATAGATTCAGAAAGGGATGTTGATAGTAACTGAAAAAGAATAGAAATGGGATCCAGAGAACAATGACATAAAGGAACTAAGTAATAAACAAAAGTCATCAAAAAAAACTATTAGGATAACAGGAAAAAAGAGAAAGGAAGATAGAAATATGAAACTGAGAATCGCTACATGGAATATAAGAAAGATTATAGGAAGACAAGAAGTATTAGTGGAAGAAATGATGAAAATTCATGTAGAAATTTCAGGTATCACAAAAATCGATAAGAAAGGAAATAATTTTTTACTGAGGGTCGAAGAACAGACACAAAACGGGAGTATTAAACGAAAATGAACTTGAACAAAAGAGAAAAAGATGTTTTTTTGAGAAAGTACAAACAAAAGTAGACCAAGGAGGAGAAAATATGTACGTTATGTGGATTTAAATGGATGAGTAGTCAACTGATGAGGTCATCATCCGATCAGATAAATTTAGTTTTACCATCTATATGGGAGATTATCTGTCTAATAAAAGTCGACACAGGTAGATGACAAACGACAGACGATAGACGACAGAGGACAGACCACAGACAGAGACACACGACAGATGACAGACCACAGACGTCTGTCTGTGGAAACGGGAGACCTATTCTATGTTCAAGAGGTCATAAAACCTCAAGTAAACATGAAAGCAGCCGTTCGCCGGATAGATCCAAATACAATACTTCTTAGCTTACGCTATAAATAGAAGAAATTCAAAAATACTATTTTTGAATGCTGTTTTAAAGAGTTGTGGTAAAATGGAAACAATAAACAAAGATTTGAAAAATGATGGAATATATTCATAAAAACAAAAACTAAAGACAGAAAAATAAACACAGAAAAAATATGTAAATACAAAAAATGAGAAGATTATCAAACATATAAGAATACGCGATACGAAGAAACCTATGACTCTCCGATGTCCTGGGGGTTGTGACGTACGTCGGTTCCAGGTCGCGGATTAGAAAAATAAACATTAAAATAATACAATTTGGAAAATGTTATATTTATTTGACCTAGGAAATGTTGTCTTTATCTATCATTCGTTCTTTATCACTTTTGCCTTGATAGAAAAATTAAGTAAAAGTTAATAATAATTGTAAAAATAACACAGGTAACTGAAATAAAACAAAAAATATATTTTTCCAATTTTTTTGTATTATTTTAATAATGTTTTTGCCTTTTATTGCAAATAAAGAAAGACACGTGTTACATTACTGAAGACAGAAGAAAATGCTTTTTAAAAAAAAATTAATTTGACCTCTCGTTCTATTTAAAAAAAATCAAATTCGCCTTGTATTCCTAAAACAAATGTTGATGGAAATTTCAATAATATTTTAGAGGATATAGTTCAAATACTTTTACTTGTGTACCAAACTTCAATGAGTTCTAGTATTCGATGATATTCAACTCCTTCGATATTTTTTGGCGACCCTGTATAGTGTATAGGTATCAAATGATACTGGACTCAAGTAGCAATAATTTCACTTATATTACAAAATTAATAATGTGAAATTTTTTAACAAATAATCACCAAAATTTGTAATGAGATAAGCTTCACATTCTTTTATTTTGAAACACGTGCCTCTATTTAAATTTTGTTTGAAGTCGTCTGCTTTAAACTAAAGGAGACAATATTTTGAAGAATTGTTAATATTAAATATAAAAATAAATATAACCGATAATTAGGGGGAGATAAATGATTAAAAAATAGAAAAAAGACAAAAGCAAAACGAAAGCTGAAATTGGAAAAAGCACCGGAAACTAATACAATAACATAACATAATAAAGTTTGGAATGTAAATAAAAAGTACTAAAAAAAGAGCTAAATAAAATAAGTATGAGGATCCATAAAGCGAAAGTAAGTAACATGTATAATAGCATTAACGGAAAATAATATATACGACTACGAACACTGAAAACAAGAAGTGGAAATTTTTGTATAATAACTAAAAACAATGGGAAAATAGAAAAGGGAATAATGACGTGGTGGGAAGTACAGACATAAGACGTACGAATTTTGTTATTTGTGATCTAGTCTTCGCTGCTCATTAATACAAAATTACGTAAGTCGTGTCTTAGAACATTCAACTTGTGTTGCTGTGGGTTGCCTAAATCTCGCGGCTTAACAACGTAACTTGTGCTTTATTTTCATTTTGTTGTTCTTGAAGCTAATTTCTTAAAGGTATTCAGTTATGTGATAAAATTATTTCGTGACTGCATTAAATCCACAAAAAATGGATTTTTGTGTGCCATTTCTGGTACAACTGTGAGATATCAGAATATCCTGCAGGAATTTAGTGATCCTGAAGAATTACTGA